GCCTGGGTGGCTTAGTTGGTTAAGCGTCTGACTTTGGTTCAGGTCATGATGTCACAGTTCGGGAGTTTAAGCCCCACGTCGGGTTCTGTGTTGACAGCTTAAAGCCTGGAGCCTGCTTTGGATTTCGTGTCTCCCTCTCTCTCTGCCACTTCTCTGCTCACACTTTGTCTCTCTTCTCTCAAAAATAAATAAACATTAATAAAAATATTTAATAAAAAAAATAAAAAGTAATTGCAGTGTTTTTTCTACCAATTGTGAATAACTAAAATTTGTATTTTTGAAGTGAATGCTAACTTAAAAAAAAACCTTTTCCTATGGATATGTATTTATGTATTTATGTTTGAATACATTTTATGTGCATGTGTGGTAATGGAGTATATGTTCTTTGAAGTGACCAGTTAATTTCAGTCATCGCAGTAGTTTGTAAGCTAAATTGTTAAAAATAATTTGTCCTTTAAAGACTTTTAAATATAAATTAGTCTTTTATAATAAACTGTTTTACAAAGCTGCTTTAAAACTTTTTCCCCCCTTAGGAAATTATACATATAAAGTAAGAAATTACAAATATTGAGCATTTTACTTGTAATAATGTCTAGTATATGTGTTCAAATATTGAGCTTCTCACCTAAATCTTTTTAAATCTTCAGCAACATCAGCAAGCATAGACAGAAGTGCCCCTCTAGAAATAGGTCTTCAGCGATCTACCCAAGGTATGTTTTGCTGTGTATTTATATTGAACTTTTAAAAACTTACTCCAAAACCATATATTTACTTTTCTTTTTTTTCTTAAAGTCAAGAGAGCTGCAGACGAAGTTTTAGCAGAAGCAAAGAAACCACGAATTGAGGTAATGGAATTTTATTTTAAATATGAATCATAGTGTTACAAAATTGAGATTGTATATGAATACAAATTCTTTTTCATAGTAGTCCTAGGAGTTTTTTTCTGGAAAAATTGTCGTAGTATTATGAGTGTTTGATTAGTAGCAGTTGAGGTATAATTTAAGATCTTTTACAGGGGCGCCTGGGTGGCTCAGTCGGTTGAATGTCCAGCTTCAGCTCAGGTCATGATCTCACAGCTTGTGAGTTCGAGCCCCATGTCAGGCTCTGTGCTGACAGCTCAGAGCCTGGAGCCTGCTTCGGGTTCTGTGCCTCCCCCTCTCTCTGCCCCAACCCACTCGCATTCTGTCTCTCTCAAAAATAAACAAACATTAAAAAAAAAAAAAAAAGATCTCTTATGTACAAACTGTGTGGTGGACATATCACTTTATTTTTCTTTGCCTCTTCGATGAAAATGTTGGGCTTCATCAGGAGTTGGGAAATTTCTTCTGTAAAAGTCCAGATAGTAAATATTTTAGGCTTTTTGGGCCATTTAGTTTCTGTTCAGCTATTCCACCCTGCTATCATAGTTGAAAGCAGGCATAAGCAATACGTAAATGAACTGACAGGACTGTATTTCAGTAAAATTTTATAAAACAGATGGTGAGCCTACCTTTGGGTTGTAGTTTGCCTATCCCTGGAATAACATGGTATGAGAATTTGCTGTACTCTTTTTTTTTTAATGTTATTTATTTTTGAGAGGGAGAGAGAACAAGCGTGAGTGGGGGAAGGCGGAGAGAGGGAGACACTGAATCCGAGGCCGGCTCCAGGCTCTGAGCTGTCATCAGAGAGCCGGATGCAGGGCTCGAGCTCATGAACCATGAGATCATGACCTGAGTTAAAGTCAGATGCTTAGCCAGCAGTGGAATACTAATATTGGTAAATAAGGATAGTTCACATGAAATAGAAGCTGTATGAGAAATGCGTTAACTTTAGAAAGAAGCATAAGACAGTTAAGCCTTGGAAATTTTAATTATATGAGTATAAGACTCTTTATTTAAAATTTTTAACAAGTCTCAGATCAGTTACATATAAAACCCAGTGCAAATGGAAGATTAGGTACTAGAGATACACTTAAAATCTGAGAAATGAGTACCAATTAACAGTATAGGAAATAACACTTGTAGTCATCATTAATTTAACGTTACTAGAAACCATAACTCTTCTTTTTACACTTGTATAAAAATCAAACAGTTGTACCTTTGGCCTACTACATAAACAGCAGAGCATCCACAATTAAGGATAAAAAGGTAACTGTTAAAGGGACAGAGTTGTCGACATGTAATCTTTATATATTCATTGACAAAATTTGATGCTGAAACAGTGTAATTTTAATTAATTTTAAAACAACGTAATTTTCATTAAGCAAACTCTGAGACATGGACATGGTATTTTAGTTAAGGATAGTAATGATAGTTAGCTCATTGTTGCTACTCTGTTCTGGGTGACGTTTTATACACTTTATATTAGCTTGTGTAATCCTAAGCCACAACCTTCTGAAGTTGGCAGTCTTGTGCATGCCATCAATGAGCAAACACCTCAGACGGAACAAGTTACTTGCTGAGGTTCACAGAACCAGGAATAGAGCCTAGACGGTCTGGCTCCTAGCCATTCCACTATATATACTGATTACAAATTTTGCAGCAGTAAAATGAGTTTCCACCTGTTCTCTCTGTATGAAGGAAGATTGGGACCCACTGTGAACAAAATGAGTGAATTTAAAGATACTAATTACTTGGAAAACCCGAAATTTACAGTTTTAATTATTTGGAAAACAATTGAATGTGTCAGAAATGCTGATTTGCCTGGATACCATTAACTTGAAAATCAACAAGAAATAGCATAATAAAATTCTTTCCAGAGTATTTATAGAGTTAAAAGAGTTACATAAACAGTTATGTTACATTAACAGTTTTTAGTTCACCGTGTGTATGTTGGGAACCTGCAAGGCACTAGGCTCAGAGAGAGAAACCTTGAGGGCAATGATTCTGAACTTATTAAAGTCTAGGCTGCAGTTGTCTTTAAAATCAGTAGTTTCCTAAGGAACTTGAGTTCCTTGTGCTGTACCTTCATTACAGATGTCTAAAATTTAATGCAGTTTGCTAAAATACTTTGTGTTCATGTCAGCAATATGTCTGTTTTAAATGATAGGTTAATAATAGAGCATGAATTGGAGCAGAGCATCTTTTTAGATCTCTTGAGTATACTGATGGCGTTTTATACAATATCATATTTTGTTAGCCATAAACACTGACTCATTTCCTCAGTTGTCTCATTTGTTGAATGTGGGCATTGAACTAGATCAAGTTTTGTTTTGTTTTGTTTTTAATGTTTTTATTTTTGAGAGCAAGCGAGCTTGAGTGGGGGAGGGGCAGCGAGAGGGGGAGACACAGAATCTGAAGCAGGCTCCAGACTCTGAGCTGTCAGCACAGAGCCAGATGCAGGGCTCGAACTCATGAACCGTGAGATCATGACCTGAGCCAAAGTTGGATGCTTAACCGACTGAGCCGTGCAAGTGCCCCAATCAAGTTTTGGTTTTAAATGAACATATTTGAGAGTAAATTTTACCTGAAATTCTAACATGCAGGTTAGAAAAAAGCTGAGCTACCAAGATTGAATTCAGAGCAGTGTCCCATGGGTCACTTTGTAGGAAAAGCCTAATGTTCCGAGGAACATGCTTTGAAAACCATTAAAGTTATACGTCCTGTCATCAGAAATGCTGATGGATTTACGACCTGGGGCAACAGATGCAAAAAACTAGCTCCAAAATGAAATTTTTGACTGTGGTGAGGGCTTTTCATAAAATTTACTAATCAACTTTTCTGAAGAGAAGGAATTTATTTGTGGTGTATTTTTATGAATAAAAGTAGCTGTGTTACATTATGGGAAGAAAAAAGCTGCTATGGAACACCTGGGTGTCTCAGTCGGTTAAGCATCTGACTCTTTAAATTTAAAGTTTATTTTTGAGAGAGAACACAACCGGGGAAGGGATAGATAGAGGGGGCAAGGCAGAATCCCCAGCAGGCCCCACATCGGCAGCACACGAAGGAGCCTGACTTGGGGCTCAAACTCCTGAGCCAAAATCAAGAGTCTGCTGCTTAAGTGACTGGGGCACCCAGGCGCCCTTTAAGCGTCTGACTCTTGATTTTGACTCAGGTCGTGATCTCAGTCTTGGTGAGATTGAGCCCTACCCTGTGTTGGGCTCCATCTGACAGGCTGACAGTGTGGAGCCTGTTTGGGATTCTCTCTCATCTCTCTCTCTGCCCCCTCCCCACTTGCCCTCTCTGTGTGTCTCTTTCCTTCAAAATAAGTAAATAAACATTAAAAAAAGTTGCTGAAGTTCTTTGGTAAGCTTTTAATCAGTTCTACAGTTTAATCAGTGATCAGTTTAATCAGTCATCTAATATTTACTTATTTATCATTGTTTTTTCATTAATTTTAGTTGAGAGAGGGAGAGAGAGAGCTTGCAAACAGGGAAGAGGGGCAGTGGGAGAGAGACTGGGAATCTTAAGTAGGCCTTCACACTCAGCACAGAGACTGGTGCAGGGCTTGATCCCACCACCTTGGGATCATGACCTGTTGAACCAAAATCAGTAGGTTGCTTGACCAACTGAGCCACCCAGGCGCCCCCCCAACTTGTATTTATGTAACTAAAAGTAATCTTTTTTTTTTTTTAATTTTTTTTTTCAATGTTTTTTATTTATTTTTGGGACAGAGAGAGACAGAGCATGAACGGGGGAGGGGCAGAGAGAGAGGGAGACACAGAATCGGAAACAGGCTCCAGGCTCCAAGCCATCAGCCCAGAGCCTGACGCGGGGCTCGAACTTACGGACCGCGAGATCATGACCTGGCTGAAGTCGGACGCTTAACCGACTGCGCCACCCAGGTGCCCCTGTAACTAAAAGTAATCTTAAAGTTGAGTTGATTTAAGGACAGTGATGCCTAGAAAGTTATAGGCAGGAACTTATGTAAAGAAAAGTTACATGTAGTTTTTTTTGTTGTTGTTCTAAAAGTTAAATAAAGGGCCACCTGGGTTCCTCAGTCAGTTGAGCATCCAACTTTGGCTCAGGTCATGATCTCACAGTGAGTTCGAGCCCCACATTGGGTTCACTGCTGTCAGCCTGTCAACACAGAGCCTGCTTCATATCCTCTGTCCCCCTCGCTCTCTGCCCCTCCCCCACTTGCACGCACTATCTCTCAAAATAAATAAAAGTTAAATAAAAATTTAGAATATTCACTAACCAGCGATTATTTTCAGGATGAAGAGTGTGTGCGTCTTGATAAAGAAAGATTGGCTGCTCGTTTGGAGGGTCACAAAGAAGGGATTGTACAGACTGAGCAGATCAGGTAAGATTTTCTTTAGTAGAAAGTGTTGTCTAAGTGTATATGGAAAAAGAGATATTAATATGCCATCTACATTAATTTTACCTTTTGCATTTATTACGTGCTTCTGTGCCCTAAGTTTAAAAGATGATGTGTGAGCCTATTTTATGGTAGGGGAGATTGAAAGCTAATGATGCTTTCTGGAAAGCCTTGTTCTTGGTACTATTACCACATTGATCTTTCCTGTTTAAAATTACTCCATAACCAAGCCACTCATTTATTTTGTGATCTCTTGTTGATTTATAGCAGAGGTCAACAGACTTTTTTGTACAGTGACACGTATTAAATACTTTTGGCTTTGAAGGTCATGTGGGTTTTTTTTGCAGCTATTTAATGCTTGTGGTAGGGAAAGCAGTCTGTGATTGCTCTAATTCATAAGAGAATTAGCATGGCTAGATTTGGCTTGTGGTATTATTTTGTTTATCTCTGAATTTTACTATAATTAGAATCCCTTCATAATTTTTCCTTGGCACAATATAGTGCTTTGGAAATTCTATCCAAACTAAAAAATTCAATGTGGATCTTTAAAAGCTTTATTAAAGATGATTAACATAGCAGGAAGCTGCACATATTTAAAGCATATTTGTTGATAAGCTTTCACATATGTATACATCTGTGAAACCATCATCATAATCCAGAACATGAATGTAACATCACTGCTATAAATTTCTTCTGTACCTTTATGATTCCACGCTTCTACCTGTCCCTACATCCTTCCCTCTCCAGGAAACCAATGATCTCTTGATTAATTTTTTTCTGGAGTTAAGTATAAATGGAGTTATGTAGTATATACTTCTTTGGTGGTCTGGCCTCTTATTTAGCATAATTATTTTGAGATTCATCCATGTTGCTGAATGTGTCAATAGTTCATTCTTTATTATTGGTGAGTAGTTTATTCTTTTCCATTGTATAGGTGTAACAATGTTTTCCTAGGCAACTGTTTATGGACATTTTACTTGTTGCTGTTTTTTGGTTATTACAGCTAAAGCTGTGATCATTTGTATACAAGTTTTTTATGGACATAAGTTTTCATTTTTACTGAGTAAATACCTAGAGGAGGAATGATTGAATCATGTAGTGTTTTGTTTTAGATTTACCTTTTTAAGACATCACCAGACTTTTCAAAGTGATTATACCATTTCACATTTCTCCCATGAATGGGAGTCCTGCTTTCATGGGAGTCTCCCATGAGTCCTGCTTTCTTCACAGCCTTGCCAACACTTGGTGTGATCAGGCTTTTTAATTTTAGCCATGCTAAAAGGTATGAGATGATATTATGATTTTGTCTTGCACTTACCTCATGATTAATGAAATTACGAGCATCTTTTTGTGTGCTTAATTTGCCATCTTATATCATGTTTAGTGAAGGTTCAAATTTTTGTCCATTTTTTTTTTATTGGATTGGATTGTTTTCTTATTATTGGGTTTTGTAAGTTTGTTGTATGTTCTGGATAGAAGTCCTTTTTCAGACATTGGCTTTGCAGGTATTTTTCCCAGTCTGTGACTTATCTTTACATTCTCTAGCTGCCTTTTGAAAAGCAGCTTGTTTTAATTTTTGTGATGTCTCATTTATCAGTGCATTCTTTTGTAAATTATCTTTTGGTGTTGTAATTAAAGAATCTTTGCTTGAACAAAGTCACCTAAGACTGTCTTGTATTTTCTTGTAGAAATTTTTTTAATTTTAGGGTTTACATTTATGTATTTATTTTTATTATTATTACTTTATTTTTTAAAATTATTTTTGAGAGAGAGCACGACGAATGGGGGCGGGGCAGAGAGAGAGAGGGAGACACAGGATCTGAAGCAGTCTCCAGGCTCTGATCTGTCAGCACAGAGCCTGATGCAGGGCCTGAACTCCCAAAACGCGAGATCATGACCTGAGCTGAAGTCAGACACTTAACTGACTGAGCTACCCAGGCACCTCTAGGTTTTACATTTAAGTCTGTGATCTACCTTCAGTTAAAATTTTTGCATGGGGTGCACAGTATGGCTCAAAATTCATTCATTTTTTATGATGTAGGTATTGAAGTTGAGTTTTGTGCCAGTTGTGCCCAATAGTTTCAGTGTTACTGGTGTCCAATTCTTTGCACTTGTGTAAAAAATCAGTTGTTTCTGGATCCATTCTATACTGTTCATCTGTTTGTCTTTTTGCCAGTGCCAAACTGTTTCATTAGTTTTAAAATCAGATAGTGTTAGCTTTCCAACTTTGTTTTTCTGTTTCAAGGATGTTTTTGCTCTTTTAGGTTCTTTGCATTTCCGCATGAGTTTTGGAATTAACGTGTCAGTTCCTACAAAAAGCTTACTGGGATTTGATTGGGATTGCATTAAATCTATAGACCAGTTTGAGAATTGCTATCTTAAAAATTTGAGTCTTCTGACTTATGAATAAGATGTACTTATTTTCCCTTATGGTAATGGAGAGGTATTTAGATCTTTAATTTCTTTTAATGTTTCATGGTTTTCAGTGTATAGGTCTTATACATCTTTTTGTTGTATTTCATACTTTTTGGTGCTATTGTAAGTGATATTTTAAAAATATATCAATTCTTGATTTACTGCTAGTATAGAAATACAGTTGATTTTTGGGTATGGATCTTGTATCCTGCAGTCATGTTAAACTCATTGATTAGTTCTTGTAACTTTTTTGTAGCTATCATTAATTTTTCTACATAGATAATTATGTTGTCTACATATAAAATACATTTTTTTCTTTTTTCTCTTTTTCTTTCTAAACTGGATGCCTTATATTGCTTGTCTTATTGCACTGGCTAGACTCACTAATTGCTTATTAATCTGATGTTGAAGAAGCAGTGAGATTAGACATTCTTACCTCATTCCTCATCTTAGGGGAAATCAGTCTTTCACCATTAAGCATGTTAGGTTAGGTTTTTTTGTTAGATAGCCTTCAGCAGGTTGAGGAAGTATCTTTTTGTTCCTAGTTTGCTGATAGTGTATCAGAAAGGAATGTTAGCTATTGTCACATGCTTTTTCTGATTCTACTGAATTGATCATGTAGTTTTTCTTTTTTGTTAATATGGTAAATTAATGTTTTGATGTTTGCATTTTCATGGATTAATTCTACTTCATTTTTTTTTTAAATTTTTTTTAAGTTTATATATTTTGAGAGAGGGAACAAGTGGAGGAGGGGCAGAGAGAAGGAGAGACAGAATCACAAGCAGGCACTGCGCCATCAGCATAGAGCCCAGTTTGGGGCTTGAACTCATGAACTGAGATCATTACCTGAGCTGAGATCTAGAGTCACTTAACCGACTGTGCCACCCAGGCACCCCTTTAGTTCATTATTTTATTGTCTTGCTGCATAACAAATTAACCTGAAACTTAGTGGCCTAAACAGCACATGTTTATTTATTTTTAAAGTTTATTTTGAGAGTGACCAAGGGTGGGACACAGAGAGAGGGAGGGAGAGAGAGAATCCCAAGCAGGCCCTGCGCTGTCAGCGTGGAGCCTGATGTGGGACTCTGACCCACAAACCATGAGATCATGACCTGAGCTGAAAACAAGAGTCACATGCTTAACTGACTGAGCTACCCAAGTGCCCCAGAAAGTATGTTGATTGTCTTACAGTTTTCTGTGGTTCAGGAGTCTTGGAGTGACTCTGCTTTAGGGCCTCTCACAGTGTTTCAATTAAGGTGTTGACCAGGATTGTGTTCTCATGTGTAGGCTTGATAGGAGAAGGATCTACTTCCAAGCACACTCATGTGCTTGTTGGCATAATTTAGTTCTTTACTGGTTGTTAGACTAATACTTCAGTTCCTCAGATGTTATCTAGAGGACTCTCTTCGTTCTTTGCCACATTTGGTCTCTCCATAGAATATTTCACGGTATTATATCTTGCTTCATCAGAGTGAGCAAGTAAGAGTGGAAGAGAGCTGTCAAGCAAGATAGAAGTTTTTTATAGCCAAATCTTCGGAGTGACACCCTGTCACTTGTACAGCATTTTAATTTTTTGAAGCAAGGTTTAGCCCACACGTACACATAGGAAGAGGATTACACGAGTGTGAATGCAAGAGGTGGATGTTGTTAATAATCATTTCACTAGTTGCTTACCATGCTCATGATGTATTTTTGTTATATGTCATTGAACTATACTTTAAAAATTTATATAGAAATTTTGTATCTATGTTCGTGAGGTCTGTAGTTTTCTTACGATGTCTTGGTCTTGTTTCTTATCAAGATAATTCCTATCAAGATAATCCAGCTCAGAATGAGTTGGAAAGTATATCCGTTTCTTCAATTTTCTGGAAAACTTTGTTTAGAATTAGTATTATTTCTTCCTGCATTTGGGAAAATTTATTAGTAAAATTGTACTATAGTTTTCTTTATTTTTATGTATTTCACATAAGATTTTCAACTACATCTTCAGTTTAATAGTTATATGTTTATTCTGGTCCTCTCTTTTCTCTTTCTGTCCTTTGAATGTTTCTTTGAAAGAGTTTGTCCGTTTCATCTATATTGTTCAATTTATTGTAATGTTGTTCATAATTTCCTTTTATGGTGTCTAGGATCTATAATGATGTCCCCACTTTCATTCTTTGATATTAGCAATTGTGTGTTTTCTGTTAGTTTCTTTATTGTCCAACCAAAATTGATCAATTTTATTGATCTTTTCAAAGAATCAGATTGGGATTTTCCTCTTTAGTTATTTTTTTTTTTCCTCTTTGTTTTTGATTCTTCAATTTCTGTTCTGATCTTTATGATTTACTTTGTTTTGCTTACTCTGGGTTTAATGTGCTCTATTTTTTATAGTTTCTTAGAGGAAAATCAATAACTTCAGCTTCCACTGTAAGTACTGCCTTCATGGCATCTCATATTTTGGTATGTTGTGTTTTCATTTTCATTCAGTTCAGAATTTCTAATTTCCCTTGTGATTTCTTCTTTGACTCATGGATTGTTTGCAAATGAGGTGTTTAGTTTCCAAATATTTGGGGTTTTCTAGAGATCTT